TGCTGTATTAACAGTAATACACTGGAGTGAAAAAAAAAACAGAGTCAGGTGCTCTTGTTTATTAGAGTCAGTTTTAGCAGTTTGTATCACATCTGCATTTATCATGCACAGCTGCAGAGGAGCCAGGATTCCCAGTTGACCAGGTGTTCTGTTGCCCTTCCATACTGCCAGTGTTCTTCAGTTGTACAAGGAACTGAAATAAGGAGATTTCAGCAGTTGAGCAAGGCCTTTGGCATTTAGACTTTTAATTCAAATCAGTGATGTGAGTGACCTGTGTATTTTTAGAATGAGTGTGAAGTTTGACTGCTCACATCAATTAATCCAAAGAAAAAACAGTAAAAAAAGAATAAAGCATTAGCAAAAAGAAGATGTAAAATCTCTCTACTGAAAATGGATGAAATTATTCAGTGGATAAAAAAAGTGTTTTTTGTTTTTTGTTAATATGTATCACAGAATCACAGAATTGCAGAGATTGGAAGAGACCTTAAGAGAACACTGAGTCCGACTCCTCTGCTATAGCAGGTGCCCTGTAATAGGTCACACGGGTAGGTGTCCAGACAGGTCTTGAATATCTCCATAGAAGGAGACTCCACAGTCTCTCTGGGGTGCCTGTTCCAGTGCTTCCTATGTTCAAATTTTAGGCTTTTTGTCCTATCACTACAAAGCACTGAGAAGAGCCTGGCCTCATCCATTTTCCTCCCACCTCTCTTTAGATATTTATAAACATTAATCAGATGCCCTCTCAGTCTTCTTTTCCTTAGGCTAAACGGTCCCAGGTTCCTCAGCCTTTCCTCATACAGGAGATGCTCCAGGCCCTTTATCATCTCTGTGGCACTCTGCTGAATTCCTTCTAGGAGATCTCTGTCTTTTTTGAACCAAGTAGCCCAGAACTGGACACAGTATTTTAAGTGTGGCCTCATCAGGGCAGAGTAGAGGGGGAGGATCACTTCCCTCAACCTGTCATCCATGCTCTTTTTAGTGTGCTCTCTTTTTAATACTATATATATGTATATATATACAGACATATGCTTAGTATCACTGCAACAGTTCCATCCACAGTGAAAACAGAGTTCTTGCTTTCTGCCTGTAAATAGTTAATTGCATAGACTTCTGTGCTTTTTCTTATTACTTATTGTCACCGCATGCTCACAAGATCATTCTTCATTTCTAATCTTTAAGATGATATTTGTAGTCTCACGTTCATACTGGTGTTTAAGGGAAAATTTTAATACATCTTTAGTAGAAAACTAAAAACTACTGCCTTTCTGTTTCAGTGCGTAGCTCTCGGATGAATAAATTTTTGGCAAAACTCTTAGCTCTCCTTTCCAGTCAATGAACATATGCGTGGATGAGGAATTTTCTGAGTTACAAGCATAGAAAATGCTGACAGCTTGGCAGCAGCTTTGAGTTTTTCAATAAAATGATAACTGCTTTTTTTTTTTCTGTTCCAGGAAGCAAGTTGTAAAACACTCTTTGAATACTGTATCTAAAAATCCTAGGAGCTCTAACTTTCCTTTTGTTTAGTATAAAGTAGCTAATAAATGTGATAAAGGAATTATAAGCTCACAGGATGTGTTGTTAGTCTTATATCAAACTGGGTGGGTTCTTATTAGACTCAAATCAATCAAAACTCAGAGATGGCATAGTTGGGGAAGCTGAAAAAAAAAAACAGTGCAAGCTCAGTGATATCTGTGTAAATAAAGAGGGGGATGTATTGTACTCAATGGAGGATATAAAGGGTGAAATAGATTTTCACCTGATGTGGGCACCTTCTTAGAATCATCTGAGTTAAATGTTTTTTTGTTTTGTTTTGTTTTTCTTTGCTGATTATAGAGAAAGTTACCTTTGACCACTGTCCAAGTTTTAGATGACTTAACATTGATCAGATTGAATCTCGTTATTTTTCTTCCAATGTTTTGGTTAAAAAAAGGAAAATTGATGAGATCTGGGGTGTGATCTTGTGCCAAGATTCTGGCGTCTGACAGTTTGGGAAAAGCTGTTTCATTCTACTGTTTATGTGAGGCTTGTAATAGCACAGTAGTGGATTATTGGTGGTGTAGTAATGAAATACTTAACTCTTATGTAATTCTGGTTTATATTTTTGGAGGTTGTTAGTTTGCATATTTATGTGTTAGGTGTTTTGTTGTGAAGAATATGTAAATCCTTACATTTAAGGTACACTAAAGTAACAAAATTCTTTTTTCTAGGAATGCGAAGTGTGTAGAATTTGCCTCAGCTGACTACAATGCAATACTTTGCACGTAACACATAACTAGAGCGCATCTAACATACAGTATGCTCTTAAATTTCAATTCTGTTCAATAGCAGCCCAGACCTGAAATATTTAATATCTGCTCTCAACAAAGATAGAAACGAACCTAGAAAAAGTACCATCTGAAACCCTCTGATAAACTGTGTTGTGCTGCGAAGTTACAATTGCTTGAATTATTTCTGGATGTTCTATTTGCTTACTCTTACACAATTTTTCCACTATGTAATCTGCTATATTGGTAAAGTATTTTTGAAGTATATTCATTTTTAGCTCTTACAAAGTAATGCCAGACTACAGTGTAAAATATTTATAGTTTTATGTCAGATGGGCTATCAAACTCAGGGAAAACAAAAAATAAAAAACAAATGAACCAAACATTTTTATGGCTTGCTTAACTCTGAAGTTGAGTGAAAACCAGAATGCTGACTCTGCTGACTCTTTTACATAGGTACGTATATGTGTGTGTTTCGATAAGAAAGAGAACAAAAAGGAAGTTTTTATTAGGCTTTTTTAAAAGCATAGCTCTAATGTAGATGCCACTCTTTGTACTTAATGGAGATGATGAACTTTAAAGAAGATTTATGTCCTTTAATGAGCGTACTGCTTCATTTGAAATGTATGAAGTATGATATGCTTTGTTCCATGCATAGATAATGTAATACTGTTATGCTAGTTCTCTTTATTTAAAAAGATTGTTATTTTTCAGTGTATTCTTATGTAATGTAAGTATTTTCTGTGTGATTTGAACATATATAACAAAAATATTAGAATGTATGGACTAGAATGTAGTAGTCAGTCTATTGTTCTTAACTACTTATCCAACAGGAGACAGAGCTGAAAATGGGAGGTATCTATCAGAAAAAATTACTACTATCAGCAGAGCCACAGCTAAGTGTTTCATGTTCTTATGTGTAAACTCGGCTTAGACCAAACATCAAGCTGTGTTCTATATTAGTTTATCCTGACTTTATTGTTGTCAGCATTATCTGACTGAAACCTCCTGGTGGATGAAAGATTTTCTGAGTTGGTTTGTGGCCTGGAATAGCTCTGTGGTTTGAACTCTCTTTCTGGGCACTTTGTTATTAAAGTTCCTAGAAGGTGTCAGCGAAGAGCTGAGAATGCTCTTCTGGACTCTGCACAGCATAGATGCACACTGATGGAACAGGTTAGGCATATGTTCTTCTACTGCCATGCTGTACATTCGTTAAGTTTTTAATACATTTCAATACATCTCTTTCTTAGAATTAAACATTTACAAAGGTTAATGTAAATAAATAAATGTGACATCTCATTTTAGGCAGCTATCTTTTCTTGGCTCTCGAAACACTGTACGGGTGGTTTGTGCTTGCTTTTTCTGGAGTTTCACAATTCATATTTGTCACAAATGTGAGAGACAACTGTGTTTTCCCTCAAGTTCAGCATTATCTGTTTCCCAAACCTCTTACCTCCCTACCTCTTTTATTTTCTTTTAAAATGTAAAGGAGGGGAAAATAGATCTGTAAAGCTTTCAAGCTCATTCATGCTTGGCAAGTTTCTCATAGGAGACAGGAGAACACTTTATGCTTCCGTATGCTTCTTGCACTCCTCAATAGCCATATGGACTGAATTATGATCCATTCCTTAATGTAATAAATAACATTGATAGTATATATATTTTACTTGTGCATGCAAATCTGAATAGCACTGGCAATCTTTGCCAATTGGACTGGAAAGTATGAATGTATATATTCAGACTTAAGAAATTATATGTATTGAAAGGAATATAAAATCTAAACCACGTATACAAGACATATACACGTATGTAACCACGTATACAAGAGAATTCTAGCTATTTCTTCTATTTGTGACTGGACGTATCTGCTGCTAAGATTTTCACTGCAAACCAGATTGTCTTATATTAAATGATTTTTGGGAATAAAATCAACGTGAATGACAAAAAAAAACCCATGATTTTACTTTTTAAATGTTCGTATCTAAGGCAGACACTAGGCTACAATTATTACAGAACAAATTTTAAGGATAAGTAATAGAAGAGAAAACATGGGGTGCTTTTAATAATTGCATCTATAACAATAGCCAATAGTTTTAATTTTTAAACCAGAACCTCTGTGAGGTCAAACAGTGACTGTGTTTATTTTAGTCTCTTAATTTGGATCTGGAATGAGCCTTGAAATGAGTTTCTGGATCATCTAAACCATTCTTGCTTTTGTTCACGTCACTGAGTGCTATTGGAGTACCCAAGTTGTATTCCTTTTTAGATGAAACTAAATTGGAGAATGTGCCTCTGGAGTGCAATTTATGTGCTTCAGCATCTAGTGTTCAGTCTGTCTACAGGACCAATTCAGGGACAGTTGAATTGAAGTCTGAAATGCATGTGTTGTGGATGAAGTGCCCTGCACTAATAGCTTAATGCTACAGATCTGCTCTTGTTTCACTGCAGTGTTTGCTAGGGCACACATTGCTACTATCGTATGAACAGAACAAATTAATTTTTGTCTGAGTCAAGCTGTGCTATACTTTGTTGTTTACTCCTGCAGCATAGGTTTCATAGTAGTTTCACATTCAGGAATTTACAAGTTTATCATTAAAGGTAAAATCAGTGTAGGAGGGTAGCACAGAAAGAACTTAATGAAATGTGATTCTAGATGTTGTGGCAGAAAATACTAAATCTAACCAGACTTGATTGGACTTTTTTTTTTTTTTCTTTCTTTTTTTTCTTTTTTTGCAGGAAAGGACAGTCACAATTAGAAGACAAACTGTAGGAGGATTTGGATTAAGTATAAAGGTAGGATGATTTTTTGGTATATTATTCCATATAGAAGGTCTTTGTATATAGTTAATTTTAGTTTTAACGAGGACAAACTATATTTCAGAGGACTAGGAACATTAGATAGAATATATTCTGAAAAGTTTTATGCTATCACAATAGGGTAGCCAGCAGCTACACCGCCCTATGGAACAGAAGGCAATGGAAAGATCATTCCATTAAGAATCAAACTAAACAGATCTGTAATATGATTTCATGTGAGAGTTGAACAGTATTTGCAACTGCACAGACTGTACTTTTGTTCAGTAGCACTCTAATTTAAGTGGTTGTTAATGTTAATTTACAGTGGCAGGCACAGAGAAGAGCCAGTAAGTTCATAATCAATTCTCCTAGAAATAATACCATATTACTTCACTGCAATTCATTAGTTTGGCAGAAAGTGCTACCACTTTCTTATATTGTTTTCTGTAGATCAAGCAATTGCAGTAATTTATCATAATAGTTACCTTACTTTTGCTTTCCTCAGTAAGAGTTAAGGACATATGGAAGTGAAAGTGATCCTTTTTGAGGGACAGGGGGGTTAATCATTTTTGTCCTCATAAGCTCTATGTAAATCTATATTGCCATTATTTTGAAAATCTTACCTTAGCTTAGAATCTCATTGTGGAGATTCAACATTATTTTATCTTCTTAGCACAGCAGTCCTTAGCCTCAAGATGGCAATAGAAAAAAATCAAGTGTACTTCACATGAATGCAAAGAACCTTAAATGATGCATATAAAGTTGAAGTACAGGCTTTTCTGTGAACAGCTGCTAGAACTGACCTTATAAAAACTGACTCAGAAGAGGGATTAATGTCCATTTGTTTTGTCATTGATAAGAATATTGCTGAATAGAAATACAAACTCTTAAAATATATCTTGGCACACTTCCTTTTATCTATTTGATCCACTAATGACCTCTTTTCAAGGAAAACTAATTGCTATTTTGTAGCCAAAATTTCTCACGAATTTAGTCAACAGGGTGCAGTGTCCTTATAGGTTACAGTTCACTGAATAATTTTTCAGTAATGTGTGTCAGTTTACGATAAAGTATACAAGGGAATGAGATTTTACTCGTTAGTAGTAAGAAATAGCTGCTAAGAGTAAATTTTGTTGTGGTTTGGAAAGCAAGTTTCATGAAGTTGAATAAAAGTGACTGAAATTGGGTTGTTTTTTTTTTGTTATACTTTACAATAGGCTATCTTCTAAAATTAAAATTGTGAAAAGAAATCAAAATCACTTTGTGCTTAAGTATCAGGTAAATAGGAGAAACACAATCACTGGCAAATAGAAATTATAAAGTGCATGGGTGGATGGTCTGTCTTAAAGTAGTGGTATTTTTTTAGAGCAAAATATCCACTGTTCTGAATAAATTCCTTGGAAGATGCAAAAGGATTTAGAAATGCCAGTGTGACTATGGATTTTTCAGATTATGAATTCAGCCTTGGAAGATATCTTTATGCATTCATGAAAGACCATATAAACTGAATAAGGTCCTATTTCTGCAAAATAATCTATATTAAAAGCTGCAACAGAATTTACGAATCATAGCATTAAATCATTAAACATAGCTTCTAGTTTTACTGCCAAGTTGTTTTGATCATAATTAATAAGGTAGTGGAGCTACATACATTCAGGCTTGAATAGATATTTTCTTTTCAACTTTTAGAATGACTAATGACCAGATGAAGATTGTTAGTTACTTTAACAGGTATTGCTTCAACAGATCTCATCAGGTAGACAGATCTTTCTCAATAAAATGCATTCAAACGCAATCAGATAATATAGATTAGATAATGAAAACGGTGAGAATAATTCCGTGGTCTGCAATATTCTATAAATGTGTTTGAAGCAAGATGATTCTGCTTATTCTAAGAGTCAATGAACTCATTTACTATCTTGCTAGACTCTTCTTTTTCTTTCTTTCTTTCTTTTTTTTTTTTTTGTAATCCTGTAGTCTTAATAAATAAATAAATAAATAGATGAGCAATTGGATATTAAATTCTACCTAAAACAAAGAATGCTGCATAAGCTTATATTACCATATTTAACTTGTAGTAGGAAATAGAAATGGAACTTAAATGATGCTTTTTGTAGTTTTCTAGGCAAGCTGTGTGAATGCTCATTGACAATGACTTTTTGGGTATGCAGTATAAGTTCCAAAAAGTGTCAGCTTTCTCTTTTAAAAGGTACCAGTTAATCTTCTTGAAGATGAGTAATAGTTTGCTACTTTGTTTTGGTTTGTTTGGGAAAAATACTTTAAAAAACTCATATATATATATATATATATATATATATATATATATATAAATATATATATATATATATATGTGAATATATAGTATATATATATGTATATATATATATATCACAGGAAAAAAAATTGCTTTGTGAAAATGACTTAAAGTAGGGATTTACAAGTTAACCTTAAGGAAAGGCTGCTATGAGAGCCAAACCTGCTTCATATGTTTCATGAAGTTTATCTCACAATGGGTAAGGAATTCTTAACGTACCCTAGCTTTATCTTTTTAGGATCTAGGAGATATGATATAGATGTCTCAAAACAGAACCTGTAACTATTGAATTTGAGACCTAGGCAAAATGCCTGGTGGAGGAAAAATAAGGAAATTCCACACCTTATCCTGACTGATCATTTTCCCGTGCCTGGTGTTTGTTCTCATTTTTGGCACTCACATGTACACGCTTATACAGAACTCATGACTCTGTATGTAAGTATAGTTGCTGAGATACCACATTTCATGTTCCCAAAGTCGCTATGCCTTCCAGAGAAGAGAAATACTGCCATAAGGATATACCGGGAGCCAAATTTCTGTGTACGTCTGGAAACCAAAGCAGCTTAGTTTTGGATGGCCAATTAATTTTGTTTTTTTTCCCTGTTTTTGTGCCTGTGAACCAGCTCCTGTACTTCTGTTGTTTCTTCTTTTATGAAAAAAACATCACTGATCACTTTGTTTTAAGACTTGGTCCCGAGTGCTGCAGTGCTTCACTTTCTGCAGTGGATGTGAAGTGAGCAGCTGTAGCTGATCAGCCATCATAAATTAACCATCCGTGCTTGTTAGGCAGCTTGCTGAACCTTTGTATCTGTGTTAGGGCTTTTGGAAAGGTGCTTAAACCAACGAGCCATGCAGGCGAGGTGGGATAACTCACCTGATCTCCATTACTCAGCTGCCACTTCTTGATGCCAACAACTTATGCCTTAAGCACGATTCTTATTTGAGTCACTGCATGTTTTAGAGACTCAGTCTGGATTTAAAAGTTTTGAATAAATGTGAATGTAATGCATCCCCTGCTACTGCTATAAATGGGGCAGAGAACAGTAGCAAACCCTTTCTAACTCAGCAGCAGTGCAGATTATGTGACAAAGTCTTAGGGCTTTTGTGTTTGTTTTGGTAAATTTGTCTCCCATAACTTCCTGTATTACAGCAGTTCTGTGTCTTAAGTTACTTAAGGATGAGTTTTATCTGAACTCTTTCTTTCTGTCTTATCTGAGATGTGAGTTATAAGTGTACAGTGATTAATGCCTCTCACTTGAAAGTATTTGCTTTGAGATGAATTTATCTAGTTTTAGCATTCAGCTGAAGAGTAGTATCATCTGTTTTTTCCTGTTAATTTGATCGTCTGTTTGCTACCAGAAATCTTACATGAACAAGTCACTTTCTCTTAAATGTCTTACCCTACCTTAAATATTCTTGATTTTCTTCAATTGATTGCTTTCTTTCTCTCTCTCTACCCCCTTACCCCCCTCCTTTCCCCCCCCCCCCCCTTTTCTTTCTTAAGAGCAGACAGATAAGAAGTTAGTAAATTCAACATGAAACTCCCCTGTAGTTTTTTGGTGATTTCTTTGTGGAGAGAAAACTCTTTTGTGTTCTTAGATGCTCCAACTAAGTTGTAAAAATCAGATTCATCTTAAAAAACTGCTTACAAAATTGATTTTTACACAAGATCTGAAACTAAGCCCTTTTAAAAATTGATTACAATCCACTCTTTGTAGGTTTGATAGCAGAAATACTGCGTTCTGCTGTACTTCATTTTACTGAAGTTAATGGCAAAAGTTTAATTAAATTTGGAGCAAACCTGATCTGTCCACACTACTCAGAAGGAATTATTTTCTCATTTCTGAAGCCCCTTTAAAACCCTCATTAATAAACCTCTGTGAGAAGAAACAGTCATGGAGTAAGATTTAGAAATTGATGACTGCAGTGTCACATCTCTGACAAGTTTGAGATGCGGAGATTTGACACAAGAAGCGGCAAAGTGTATGACTTATGAAAGAACATCATGTTTCTTAATAATTGTGGAGTGTAGTGTTCTTGGGGAAATAGTCAGTAGAAGTAATAGTTCATTAAATTAATTAAGGTTTGCAATTGCAGGCTGACTTCTAGATACCAGAACTCTGAACTGAGCCATTTTCATGCTTCTCTTTTGATCATTCTTTATACGATAAACTTTATCACAGATTTACAGATTTTCTAAGATTGTTTGACTTCTGAATGTGTGTCTACATAACATATCTATAAAGGTACTGTTCTGAATATCCTTTGAATATATTCAGATAATTTTCTTCATATCCATTCATTCTGTGGTAATCTTTGTTATGAGAACATTTTCTCTGCATTTCAAGTGGAAACAATAAAAATTAGAAATTATTGTTTAATGTTGGAAATATGCAAATAATTTTTTTCAGGATGGTATCTCTGACAAAAGCAGATTTTATTCGCAATTGCAATGGTGGATGTCCTGCAAGCAGGAGCACCCTTAAGGACACAATGATGGCTTTTTGTACCTTGTTTCCCCCTTTGCCTATGCTTCTCCCCTGTTTCCCCATTGGCTGGGTACTCCAGGTTCACAGTCTTGTCAAAGTTTACATTTGTTAATTGGTGTGTTATCTGGTGTCAGCCAGTAGCCATCCTGTTGTTTCCAAGATGTCTCAGTGCTCTTCTTGTCATATTGATATGGTGATTTTCTTCAAAGTCTTCATTAGACAAAGAGCACCGTGGGGTGGGGTGATGCCAGGCCTTCCCAATGTCTCTTCAGGCACTTCCTTGTGCATGCCATGACTTGTTCTCTGGTTTGATCAATCTCGTGCAGGATATTCTCGCAATGTGTATGATAAAATATATATAGATACACTTATATACTGTGCGTGCATTCCTAGGGAAGGTTCATCTAGAGGATAAGTAATGCAAACTATCAGAGACCACCCCTCCTTCCCCCCAGGTAAAGTAGAAAGACTCCCAAAAAGAACTATGACAGTGGAGACCATGAAATAAAAAAAAAATTACCCAATTCTAATGCAGAAACAACATTTGATTACCACATTTAATAGGTGAATTATCTAGCGTTTAGTTTACAAATCTATCCAGGTAAACTATTATATCAAACAGTGAAGTTGCAAAAGGATAATTAACACCAGCATGTTGTTGTCCATATTGTTTAATTGTTAGCATGTTACCTGCTATGATATTGGCTTATGCCAACTGGCATTTTGAGATAAGACTGTTCGTGATCACAGATGAGAACAAAATGCATCATGTCATTCTATTTCAGTCTTGAAGAGTTTGTCCACATGGACAGGAGCCATACTGTTAAGACAAAAGCAAAAAGGGCAAGAGAAGTGATTGTCTCTCTCTGCTTTGTGCTGGCGCAGCGTTAGCTGATCTACTACGTGTAGTTTTGGGCCCTCAATTGCCAGTGATTAAAGCTTCCTTTATTTCTTTTAATAGGACCATCTCTGGAGCTGGGCAGCCAGCTTTATTCCAGGCTAATACTTGCACAACTTTTCTGCTTGAGGAACAGTGGCAAAGAAAATTTCAGTTACAAAGAGCAGCGGTAGAATCTGAAGACTGAGTCATTAAGCCTTCAGTAATGCTAACTGACATGTATTTGTCCCATCCACTGGTCTGGGATTGTAGGTGGAGAATAGATTGATAGAGTTTAATTTAAGAGTTGAAAAGTAGCCATTGTTTCCAGAGCTTTCAGAAGCAGTGTATCTCTTGAGTCTATAAAGCTAGAATTCATGCACTTTTACAGAGAATCAGACATGTAGGTGTTAATGAGTTCTAAGACTAATTCAAAAGGGATCGTTTATAATGACTGAGTGTGGTTGCAGAAAGGGGGTCATTTTTTTTCAGAAGTATTAAGAGATGCTTCTTCAAAACTGCAGTGAAATGGAGTTAGATATAGAAAGTGAGAGGACAAGGTGGTGCTCATTACTGTTTGGTTTAGGAATAACAGGAATTCCCCTCTTTACTGGAGAGCTGAGTTGAATCAGAGAGAGCACAGTTTACAGAGAGAAAAAGACCTTAGTTATGTTGAATTTTAATCATTGAACTCCTTGGCTGAACTTCAAATATCTTGCATAGTACAATATTTTTGTAGTATATTGAAGGCTTAGAGAGGGTACTGATATTTGTTTATTTGAAAAAATATAGAAGAAATTAAATGTGCATGTACCTGAGAAAAACTCTTAAAGTCTTATTAATTTAGTGATCTGGAACTGGTTATCTAAAGTGAAGCCATTGTTTGCGACTGCTGTTTCTATGGTGAAAACCATCAAAATATATTTAACAAGTTACAATGCTGCAAACTGTTTCTTTTCAATATGTGTGTAAACCTGACTGAAATGAAAGTAACATCATGGTATTTGTGGAGACCAAGACCATCTGGGACATGTGCAGTGGCAGATATGAAAGGCTCTTTCTTTGTAGAATTTAATAGAATTAATAGAATTTAAATACTTTATGAGACTGCTCATAGAGAAGGGGTACACAGAAGCATGTTTTCTATGGTTTTCTTTTCCTCTATTCCATAACAGATAAAGCTGTTGAATGCAGGTCTCTGTTCAGTTTCAAACAATTGGTTCCTGCATGAAGAAGGGATCTGTACTAATCCTTAGAACATCAAAATATCCAGGTCAGACCACTCAGTTCATTGACACAGAGTGCCTGGACCTAAGGAGTCAGTAGTTTTCAAACAGAAGAAAAAATAAGTAAACATTAACCAGGATTCTTAGGCAAAATGACAGTGTGGCATATTGTCATTTCTGATTATCTGAGTTTGTATAGGTTATGTTCAGGCTGGCACTTTGGTGCTGACTTCAGAGGAAGAAACATATTTGTGATTCTGTTACATACTTGTCCTTTTCTTTCTTTGAGAGTGCTTTTCATTTAAGGTTTCTTTTTAATGCCTTAAGCACCATAAACGTTTCCAGCTTCACTAGGATAAATTGAATGAAACAACAGCATTGAATTGCTGTCAACCTGTTGAATTATCATTCAACTTTCCTTTATTTTTCCCGCATTTATTGAACACCTACTGTTCCACTTAATGTTTTCTTTTTCTGTTCCTTGTTACTTACCCCACTGCTTTGCTCACTCTTTGTTCATGTGTGACAGAGATGGAAACAAATAAAGGCTGCTTTTGAGATGAAAGTCCAAACTTGCTTTTCTTGGGTTTTTGTTTACATGTTTCTTACCAGCATGAAAACTGAGTGTTCACAGCATGGTTGCTATTGTGGTGTGATGGCCATTCTGCCTTTGTAAGACACAGTTTCATACATTAAACTGTCCAAAAATTGTAGAAACGGATGTTCTTCAAGTCTTGTTCACTTCCTTGGCTAATTATGGAACCTGGGAGCTTCTTCATGAGAGGCAGTAAGAAGTAAGGAATTAATCCAAATCAATTCTATATTAGAATTAGGCATAGACAAAAAGAAGAAAATTTGGATTCAGAATTATTTTCTCAGTCTCTTTGAAACCAAGTTACAGAAAGGGTAAAATATAATTTCAAACAAAAAGATATCTACAGTGACTCATGAGATTACTGTTTATTTTATTTTCAGGGTGGAGCAGAACATAATATTCCAGTGGTCATTTCTAAGATTTCCAAAGAACAACGAGGTGAGTGTCAGATTAGTACACTATGTCTTGACATGCTCTTTATAGCAGGGTGTTCTAAATCTTATTCTCTATAAATATACAAAACTTTGGCCTTTGGAGAAGTTTCTAAACATTGTCTTCAAACGATCTTTTAAATGTTCCTGTAAAGCATAATTTTTAAGGGAAAAAAAATAGGCATGAAAATATTTAATAACTTTAAGCAGTGCAAAAATAATACTTCTGTCTTTTATTTCTGAATGCTTATTGCCAGAAAGAAGTAGCATATTGAAAGTTTGATCATTAAAATGATCAATGTGAATGCAAGAGGAGAAGCATGTCTTTTTATACTGGATAGTAGGATAGTACTCAGGTGGGTAGTGGCAGAATCTTGATAATACCCTTTGCTATTTCAACTAGAATCATTGAATCACAGAATGGCCTGGGTTGAAAAGGACCACAATGATCATCTGGTTTCAACCCCCCTTCTATGTCCATGGTCACCAAGCACTAGACCAGGCTTCCCAGAGCTACATCCAGCCTGGCCTTGAATGCCTTCAGGCACATGGCACCCTCAAACTCTCTGGGCAACCTGTTCCAGTGTGTCACCACCCTTGGAGCGAAAAACTTCCTCCTAATGTCTAACCTAAACCTTCCATCTCAGTTTAAAACCGTTCCCCCTTGTCCTATCACTGTCCATCCTTGTAAACAGCCATTCCCCCTCTTGTTTATATGCACCCTTCAAGTACTGGAAGGCCACAATGATGTCTCCCCAGAGCTTTCTCTTCTCCAAGCTAAACAAGCCCAGATCACTCAATCTTTTCTCATAGGAGAGGTGCTCCAACCCTCTGATCGTCTTAGTGGCCCTCCTCTGGACCCATTCGAAGAGCTCCATATTTTTCTTGTACTGGCAGCCTCAGGCCTAGGCACAGTAGTCCAGATGGGGCTTTGCAAGAGTAGAGGGGGACAATCACCTCCCTCTCCCTGCCTGCCACCCCTTTTTAATGCAACCTAGGATATAGTTTGCCTTCCAGGTTGCAAGCACACACTGCTGGCTCATTTCCAGCTTTTCGTCCACCAGGACCCCCCAAGTCCTTCTCCGCAGGGCTGCTCTTAAGGAGTTCTTACACCTGGGATTGTCCTGGCCCAAGTACAGCAATTTGCACTTGGCCTTGTTGAACCTCATAAGGTTCACATGGGCCCATTTCTCCAGACTGTCTAGGTCCCTCTGGATGGCTTCCTTTCCCTCCGATATATCGACCACACCAGTCAGTTTGGTGCAAGTCTGCAGACTTGCTCAATTCCATTGTCTGTGTCACTGATGAAGGTGTTGGAGAGCTCTGGTCCCAAGGCTGAACCCTGAGGGACGCTACTTGCGATTGGCCTCCACTCAGACATAGAACCGTTGATCACAACCCTTTGACTGCGACCAGCTAACCAGTTCTTAATCCATCTAATAGTCCATCTTTTAAATCCATACCACTCCAATTTAGAGAGAAAAACATTTAGTGCTGCTGTCAGTAAACTTTTGCAGCAACTGATATTTAGCAAAATCAGTAGTGTATGAAGGCTTTAATCATGCATATTTTTAACTGCCAATGTTTTGAAGTTGTGGGAATTATATAGCATGTGCTATGAAGACGGGTTCTTGTTAGATGACTCGTGATGCACTCGATGAAGGATCAAGGATACTTCTAGGATGTATTTATGATCTTTGTTATGTTTATGTGTATTTGTGTATATAAGCATAAGCAAACTTGGAAGCATTTTCCTCCATCTGCTTACAGTAATTTTGGAATGCTGCTTCTGCACAACTGAAAATCTCAACTAGAGAAAAATCTCATATTCATCCACACACTGTAGATAAAGAAATGGACAGGGGAATCTTAAAATACTGAGATCTGAAAACTGACCCTGAAATGTAGATGTGATGGTCGTGTGTAGAGATGCTGCAGTGTAGCAGACAATGAGCCCCTAAGGAAAACTGAAAGGTTAGCCTTAAGAAGTGACTCCATTATTTTTAGTATAAATATAAGTGTGTAATACATAATAATGTGGCATATATTGCCTACACAAGCTATTAAAAAGCTATTAAGCACTGCAGGAAAAATAGGAAACATAGACAAAGTTTAATTGAGCACACCAAAGTGCATGCTGTTTCCTTTTGTTATTATTTTTTTGTTTGTTTTGTTTTGTTAGAGTGATGCATTATTTCTAACTTCAGTACATACTTAAGGTATAAACTCTATTACTGCTTTCAATAAAAGTGTTTAGAGAGCTAGTTGCAAGGGACGTCTCTTCTGTAGAATAAGGCTATGCAAGTGTCATCTCTGCTTAGTATCTTGGAAAATGCTGTTTAACCTAGAACCTGGACCTCAGAACGTTGGAGGCTTAGTTCTGCCCTTTTACCAATTGGATTCTGGTTCATTTTTTAGGCCTCTAAACAAGAATGTGATAGTTCGTGCAATTCATACCAACCATGTTGTATGTAGGTAATTAAGTCATATGTAATTTGATAATAACATGTAAGCCCCATGTCTGAAGAGGAATATTGAGATACACATTTCTTAAACATAAAATATATTAAAAATCCTCTCATAATTCAAGAATCCATTGTTGTATCTTGCCTAATAAGGCCAGACCTTCAAATATATTATCATAATTTATGTGAATATTATTGCCAGTCTCTCATGTAAAGAAGTAAAAATTAGTTGGACCAAGTCAAGTTTCAGATCTTTCTAAACAGCATCTTCTGTGATGTTTTAAAATGCTATAGACAAATAATTCCACGTATTCTGTTAGTATTCCTTAGTTTTCATGTTAGAGATTATATATTTTTATAGACACTTATCCTTTATTATATTAATTTTGTGTTTATGAAGTGCATTTGATAGCTCTGTAATATAACTCAATATTTTAAAATGTTAATTTTTGAATCAGTTTTGGTTAATTCCCTTATGACTTGGAGGGTATCTATTTTAAAAATCAAGTCCAGTATTTATGATGATTTTCTACAACACCCTGATTGCTTAGCTCTTGAACAGAGAAGGTGTTATCCAGCATAAATACACCACTATTAATCAAAACACATCATTAATCAAAAACATAGGATCTACAGATTCTTTGATAAAATCTTATAAGTTAAAGGTTGTCTTTCATAAGTAGCTCTAGAGTTCTTTTCCCTCAGAGCTTCTAAGAAATCATGTCTCACAGGTAAATAGGACCTAGTTCTGTAATCATTCTGTTTTGAGAAAAGCCTGCCATACTTCACCATTATGGCCCAAAAGATGCTATACATTGATGGAAGATGTTTTGGAGTTTTGTTACTTCAGATGAAAGAACTCTTTCACTGAAACAATGAAAGCTGGTGTTTTAGGATTAATAAGATTCCAAATATCTACTTAGAAGCTACGTATTGCCTGTTTGTTTTTTTTTGTTTGTTTGTTTTTTGTTTGTTTGTTTGTTTTTTGCTTATTTTTTAAAAAAGATTATGTAAAAGTATAAATGAAATATAAATGTAAGTACAAGAAATATAGGATATTTTGTGCAAATTGAGTGAAAAATATGCTTTCTATTTTCAGCTGAACTTTCAGGTTTGCTCTTTATAGGAGATGCAATTCTGCAGGTGAGTGAACTTGGAAGTACTTTTATGTATAATTTTCTAGAAAAGTGAAATAAAATCTATACTTATGAAATGTAGAGTAAGTCTTCTCTTTATCTTTTTAATAACAGATTAATGGAATTAATGTGAGAAAATGCAGGCATGAAGAAGTGGTGAGCTTTTCTGTTTTTCAGTCTACATTTCGTCTATTATAGTTATTGAAATGATAGCAGTACACTGGTGTCAGTTGTATTATTGTTATTCCTAAAAAAAAAATTAGACTGTACCTTCTTGTTTAGAAAATCTTTGATCTTCTTTGTAGACTTGTTATAATTACTGTTCTCAGATTGTTTACTAAAGGTGGTTATTTTATTATGAGGATTTTAGCTGTATGTTTTCCTAACCATTCTTCTTCTGGCTTATAGCTATCAAATTTAAGTACTGCTAAACCTTTCTGGTTCTGCGAGGTCATTTTAATTTCAAAAGTCATAATTTGCTCTATGTTGGGATTTATTTGTTGTTTTAAAACCTATTTAAAATCAAAACAAAGCATTAGTCTGGCTTCCATTCTCTGGCTTTAATTTATGAGGATGCTCTCCTCGTTCATAAGGGTAGAAATGAACAGAGTATTAAGGAGATTCCTCATAGAGGAGGCATGTGTGTTTGAGATGTAAAAATATTATATGTGTTATATTTGGCTGTTTGATTGTCCTTAAGGACTTTCAGAAGTAGGAAACACTAAGCTTGAGAAAAAATGCCATGAATGGAAGATTATCAAAGATTACTAAAGAAATTATCCTTTATTCCTGTTTAGGTCCACAGCAACTATAATTGTACAGCTCATTTTATCAATTCATAAATGCTCTGCATTTAATACTGTATTCTGCATTATGACAGATTGAGAAATGTATGCCATTCAGGTATAGAAAGCACGGGTTGATGAAATTCTGACAAACAAATAAGTGCAGGCTGAAAGACAAAATGAGTGCACTCTTCCACCTCTCAGAATGCATTTATGCAGTGGTTTTGTGCTGGAAATTTGTGTTGCAAATCATTCATCATTCCTTAGAACTGTCAACTGTTTATTGGCTGGTTCGGCCCAGTTCCATGACTAGTGGAGCGGAGGGTTTTCACACAATCCGTGCCATCAGAAAAGGGAGACAGGGGACCCCAAAATAATTAAAAACAGTGGCAGTGATCTGAGGAGAAACAAACTAATTTACTAAATGTGGTATCAGAATACAAGGTAACATGCTATAATACAATATAATTAGAAATGAATCTATTAAATCAAATATAATGAGAGTGTCCGAAAGGTTGGAAAGGCCTCACCGTAACACTGAGGTGAGATGCGCAGTTCAGTTGAGCAGCAGGGAAGAGAGCCTGGTGAAGAAGAGGACATCAGGTGACTTTGCTATGGTTGTATCTCCTCCTGACTGCAAGGGCCCCTGGAGTATGTAGTTCTTCTCTTCTGGACAGGTGCCCAGAACTGGAGCATTAACAGTTTAACTCCCAATACACTACATGGTGTTATGATATGAAATACTGATAACCAAAAATCATAAAACCATGACAAGAAACCTTAATCCATCCTCTGTATAAACAGAATAACATTCATATTTGCCTTAGTTTTAAGCTTTGGCTGTGCAGTAGTGGCCAGATTTTAATCTTTTATGGGATTACCATAGTTTTGTTTTAATGCTTTAATATGGTAAATATCTCAATGGGATTTCAATGTGATGTTGAAATTTCAAGACATGAGAAAAAGATGTTAATAAAAATACAGACCTGCACACAAAAAAGCAAATTAAAACTGGTAAGTTTATTCAAATCTGCCCAAAAGGACAGATTTGCATAGAGTAGCCAATATCATTTTACTTCATACCTTTTTAGTCCCAAGTAGTGTTCTTCTCAAACTCCTTATAAATAATGTTATTTAAATAAGAATAATAACAAAGCAAAGGTGTTAGCTTACTAGCTATGAATGTGCCATTGTGTATATACAAGTACTTGTACAAATAATAGTACTTGGACAAATAATTTCTAAGAATGAAGAATTGATATTGGCCAATATTTAAGTGGTCTATGTAACATTTTTTAAACTAAGATCTGCAGAGGAAGAGATGTAAAACAAACATAAATGCCATATTTTGATTTTTTTTTTCTAGAAACATTGAATTTAGTATGATCATAGCATCACAGAATCACAATGGTTAGAAAAGACCTCAAATATCATCCACTCCAACTGTCCACCAATCATCAGTATTTCCCACTAAACCATGTCCCTCAGTACAACATCTCAATGTTTCTTGAACATCTCCAGGGATGGTGACCACCACCTCCCTGGGCAGTTTGTTTCAGTGACTGACCACTCTCTCGCAGAAGAAATATTTCCTAATGTCCAACATGAATCTCCCCTTGCACAACTTGAGACCATTCTCTCTAATCCTATTGCTAACAGACCCCCACCAATATGTCCACCTTATTAACCCTCCCCCTGACCGTTATCCACAGAGACTCATTCCCAGCACCAAGCTCAACAACATCAAAGCACTCTCTAACACACAGAGCCACACGACCTCTCCTTCTTCCTTGTCTGTCCCTTCTGAAGAGCTTATCAGCATCCACTGCAGCACTTCAGTTGTGGGAGCAATCCTACCTTGTTTCTGTAATGGCAACTAAGTCATTGTTTGCCTGCTGCACGGTGATGTACATGTATGTGTAGTGAATTTGCTGAAAGTCTGATTATAATAAGTGCTGGTTCATTAATGATAGATCAGGTAGTTCATTGTACATTTATGTAGGATTTTAGGCACAGACCTGACTAAGGAGCAGATACAGAAACTAGTTTGCCAGCAGGAGTTATAGGTAGATTTTGTCTGCTACATGTTCCAGGAAGCTGTTATAGCACTCCTATGCTAATCTTTATCAAATATGGGATCCATAGTTCTAATGCCAAAGTAACAGAGAGAATGCAAAGTATGTAGAACATAGTTGCTCTCAGGATGGATTAGAACTGCAATGAATACTTAATGTCCAATCCTTACCACATCTAGGTACTTTTGAAATGGCTGTGCAGGGTCCATAATGTTAGAGTTTTGTTTCGTTCTGATCATAATTCCTTTTTTTCTGAATCTAGTTAAGACTTAGCAGGTATCATATGATGAGAGAATATATTAACATTTTGAGTTGCCCTGATATCTTAGAAAATATTTACTGTGAAGCAGTAGGAAAGATTTTCCAGTGTGTAAAGCTGAAGCTTCCCATAGGAAATTCAGACGCGTATACATTATCTGCACTTGGAATGCAATGTGCGTTCATTCTTTTTCTTTTCTAGATCCAACGCTTATTGCTGTTTGCAAAAACATTCTAAGCAAATGTCCTATCCTCATAACTCAGTAATGAAAAATTCTGCATAGTGATCAGTGCAGCCTGTAATATTACACTGATTACTAATCATCTAACCATGGTGTTTCACTATACTGTTTTTACTCTGCCACACAAATCAAACTATATTTTCATTTGAATTTCAAAAATAAGTCGTTTTATCAAATTAGTACAGTCTTTCATAGTAGGGAGAATCTTTCTCTGATGTGCAACAAACTTAGTTGACTTAACCTTTGTGGGCACCTATGGTATCCTTTGTTGTCTTCCATTAGTTACTAAGTCTGTTAATAAAGCATCCAGTGGAGCACAGATCGTGTTATTCCAAAAGTACATTACAATCTGAAGCCTGAATATGAAAAATCAATAGGTAGATAAGACTTATAAGGCTGAATATGTAAGCTTACTTGTTTTTTGGTTTAACTTACAGGAGATGTCTGCCCACTTCCCATTGGAATTTTCTTAGCTTTAGGTGAATTTTGAGCTTAGTTTTCCATTTGTAGAAGGTGAGGATATTATTCATTATCATGAAAGGATATTATGAGTTTCTATCAAAGACTGAATGTCAATTTGTTGTTCTACTGGGGTTGTAAAGAATCCCATCTAAACACAGCAGAGCATTCGTTCACTCTTAGTACTCTCCTATGGTAAAATAAATATGTTCTGTCTGGTAAAATATCGGCATTGGAGGAGGTTGGAAAAAAAAGTTAAAAAATCATCTCTCAACATCATAGAGATAATTTGTCTCTAGAAGCGCAGTCTCAAGTTGAATTTGGAAGTAGGGGATGTCTTGTTATATTTCTTAATTTAGATGAGTTGGAATTCTTTCTACTCTGGATAATTTATTTATTTATTTATTTATTTGCCATCTTTTTTTCTCTCTTTAGCATTTTGCAAGACTTTTTATAATCTGAAATTAGGAATAGCATGCATAGACAGGCATACACATTTAGGCTTCTGCCTGAGGAATTCGGTGCAACAGTGCATAAATCCAGTCACCAACAATGTCAATCCAAACATTAAACACCTAGTCTTTTAAGTGCTCATAACAAAAATTGTTTCTCACCAAGTAAGTTACTTGAAAAGCGAGGTTATTGTCCAGGGAGAAGCTGATATTGGTAGATATAGAATCTGTGTAGGTATTTAAACTTCGGTGGTTTTTTTGATACAGCGAGGTATTCTGTGTAGCACCATATTACAAATCAAATGTCAGCTACATTTTGAACAAGGCATCTTTTCTGTGAGTTTGACATGAAATGAGATGCCCATGTGCATTGCATTGTAGCTTTCACCCTTTTCCCTGTATTCTAGCAGAATTTCAATTATGATATATATTTCGTAAAGCCGATGGCATAGAAGCTGTAGTTACTTAACTGAAATTATGTGCAGGAATTATATGCAGTTGACAAATCTTTTTTTTTTTTTTAATCAGTTTTCATCCAAGCTGATTTTTTGAACTTATGATAAATATCTTCAGTAATTTTTTTTCATGTTTTAAACAGAATAATAATCATATTGCATTTATAAGGCAAGAGATGAAACCGAATAGATATTTAGACAATGAAGCTGCATAGTCAGCACTTGTAAGAGGAGAGCTTGATCATTCCTCAATAGTATTCTTCATATGAAGAGGCCAAGATGTTAGTTATTCCATACTGCCATTCTGTTCGAGACCTGTGGTTGTAAGAAAAGTGTTAACCTCACCTCTTTTACCATGGTATAATTAATGAAAATATCTGTAACGACGTATTTATAATTTCCTTATTGTTCATGAAACTTGGAGCTAATA